TAAAAATTGTCAAAGTTGAAATTTATAATAAAAACATAGTAAGTAGACTCAAACTTTTGGAAGCAACTGTATATATACAGTATATATTATAATTTTATATATTTAAAGTTTAATTATTTTTTGATACTTTATATTTTTTTATTTTATTCTATTGTATTTAAATATTTGTTTTTTTTTAAAAAATAGAATTAGAAAAAAATTTTTTTTTGAATTCATAACTATAAAATATATTAGTAGAAAATAAAAGTATAATAAAAATAGTTTAGTTAATAATTAAAATACTTGCAATAATATTATTTATAATCCAATATTTAATTAATTTTAGAATAGAATTTAAAATAGTTTTTTGAGTAAAAATTATATTATAAATAATTTTTATTATATAAAGTTTTTTTTATTGATTATATATATATTTTTAAATATTAATATAGTCTTGTTTTATTTTTTATTTTTTATTTTTTTTTTGCTTTCTATCAGATTAGTTATGTATGCTTTATTAAACATTGTAGGCTATACATATAATATGAGATACTAAAGTTAATTTTTTAACTAACTCACTTGTCTTAATTGTTTTACTTTTCTAAGTGCAACTTCAGAAGTAATTTATTGTTCTGTTAGAAGTTCAAGTAAATACCTTTCCAATTTCTAATATTATTACCCACAGATCACCACTGCAAATCACTCTTTTGAGTTTTAACAGAGATTAAAACCCAATTATTTTATTTCATACCTTATTCTATCTTGTAGGACCAGTTTGAGCATCATATTTTCTGATTCTTCTTTCTTTAATAATACTTAATATGACTGATTACCTGATACTTTGACTTTGTTTTTTTTGCTTCTATAAATATATTAGCTTTTAATTTTGTCACCTTTGTTAATTCCCAATATCTGTTTCCACTCTATCACCTTTTCGCATCTGATATTTCAAATTTTTTTCTGAAATAATTATATGTTTTTTTTTACATTTTCATTATTCACTTTCTTGCTTCTTTACTGATTCTTTTTCCATAGCACTTTAGTCTGCTATTTCATTTATTAGGTCTTTTTTAATCAGTCTTATGCAGAAGCTAAGTATATTCTAATCAGTGTTTGAGATTCTTTTCACTAGTTGAGCTATTTTCTTATCCATTTCTCATCTTTCTATTCTGTCATCAATTGTCAGGCTTATCTCTTTTTTTTCTAATTCCTTTTTTCTATTTGCCAAGAGTTTATTGAAACCTTGTATTATATCTTCCATATCCTTCTGCAAGGTTTCTTGCTACCGAGTTTTATATGTTGAATATTCTAGTAAGTATTCTATTGTCTCTTCTTGCTATTTATATATAAGACATTTTACTTGCTTATATAAGTCTGATCTTCTTATAGCTAGCTTTGTTAATGTGGGTAGCTGTTGCTAGTCATCTTAACAAGAAAGTTTTTTCTTTGTGATACTTTGAAAAAAGTATTTCATGTGTGCTCATTATTTATTTGTTCTTACACTAGATCCTATGTGTATCTGTATGGATCTTGAATTTATTGATTTTACTTTTTGTCTATACTATTTTGTATTGTCCATTGGTGCATCATAATATAATCTTATTTTATTTGTATATACAGTATATAATATTATTATATAAAGTATTATTTAGAATATACTAACTATTTTTATTAAATAAAATAAAGATATGCTTTTCTTAAAATGTATTTAACTTATGACTTATTATTATACTTTTTAAGAAAATTAACTTGATAAGATTAGGTTAATACTAAAATAAATTTCAAATATAAAAAAATAATCAATAATATTTGAAATCTATTAATTTCTAAAATTATTACTATTTTTATTAATAGTATACTTGTATACTTTATATAAACTATTTATCTTGATGCAAATGTCTATATTATTTATTTTTTATATAAATATTATATATATATGCTAATAAGTATTTATATATTTGTTTTTATTAGCAATTTATATACTGTATATAAGTAATTATTTATATTTTATTAATTACATTGTATTAAATATTATCTTATTAAAAAATTGTGTAAAATTTTTTTTAAATTATTTTTAAATTTTTTATTAAAAATAATATAATTTTCAAGTTATTAAATTTTTATTATCTTAAACTTAGATTTGAATTTCTTAAAGTGATTGATGAATTTTTTATTTTACTAAAATTTTTCAATTATTAAGTTTATGTATCAAATATAATTATATGCTAAAAGGTTTAAAATTTGACTCAGGATTTTTTTTATTAGTAAATTTTAAAAAATTTTAGTTGATTCTTTTTTAATGAAATACAATTAATTTAAAAATCTACCATTTTTATTATCAGAAAATAGTAATATAATTATATTAAAGATAATTTGCTTAATTTTAAATAGTGATCTAATTACAATCTTTGTATAGATAGTTTTATATTTTTGAAAATTGATTAATTTTTAATAGGAATCAATGAAAAAGAACTGTTAAAACCTAATATATAACAAGATATACTTAGAAATATTAATTATATATAATTAGTCAATAGATATAATTCATTATTAATATTAAAATCTTTGTTTTTAGAGTATTTGATCTAGGATTTTGTGATCTGACTTATAAAGTGTTAACTATTGCACTATTAATTTATAAATAATATTTATTGGATAATTAAATAAATATATTTATAATATATGTATTTTTTGTATTAATTTGTATTTTTATTATCATAATTAATTATAAATCCTACTAATGTTCTTTGACAGTAATAATCTACTAATAATGATATAATGAATTGAAAGTATATTTATTTAAAGATTATTGTGAAGCAAATATAGTTTTCAAGATTTAACTTAGAGATTATTATTGTTTATAACAAGTTTATTTGATTTGATAAAAATATTAGTTATAATATATATTATACTACTCAAGTAAAAATGCAATCATATTTTCAATTAATTAATAAATCATAATCTAGTCTATTTGTATATATTACCATAAAAAATAACTCTTATTAATGTTTATGAAAAATTTATGTATAATACAAACAAAACATTTATTTAAAAAGAAAGCAAAACATAAAGTATACTATTAAGTAATATATGTTTTAAAAACTAAAAAGAAATCAATAAATTTATTGTTATTTGATAAACAATTAGTAATAATTTTGATAAATGGAAGGTCTCTTTCTAATTTATCAGGTGAATAAAATATTGTTTCCTAAATATGATTTAAATAATCTAGTTTTGACCTTGATTGGTTTAATTTTAACTAGTTTAACAAATTTCCTATATTTTTTAAAAAGTATAGTTCTTTAATTAATAATGTACAATGATAGTTGGTTATCATGCGAATAGTCAATGTAATATTGTAGAATTAATATTTCGCTAAAGCTATATCATAATGGAATAATTACAGATAAAAAAAACAAAACTAGATTATAGATACCATATATAATAGTTAAATATAATTTATAATATTATTATGATTATAAATATAGTATATACTGTAATTCTGCAATGACGACTCGCAGGCAATGATAATTGATATTTGGAAAGGTTTTTACCCGAATTATAAATGGAACAATAAATTCTTTTCAAAGTTACACTCGGAGCTAAGATAAGTGAGTCAGTTAGCGGATTAGCTTTGGCAATTCATATCATATTTATGTATAGTTTACAAAAGTTTAATAAAGCAAACATAACTGACCAGACAGTGGGTTAAAAAAAAAAAAAGGTAAAATAAAATAAATAAATACGATATGTAATTAAATATAAAGCTTTGACAAAATATTTTTAAAAGTATAAAATGGTTGAAAAAATTTTTTTTAAAAAAATATAATATTGAAGTTATAATTATATGAAAGAAGCAAAGATATAAATATAGTATAATATCTTGTGTTCAAGAAGTATAAAAAAAATCTTGATCAATAATAGTATAATAGAAAATTAAATAATAAATAATTTTCGGTTATTACGCAATTGCAAATCCAGTATTATCCTAGCTCTTATAATTTTACAGTATTTTTTAAACAAAACGTGGATACAGACTCTTCTAAAATACATAGTCGAAAAATAAATGATAAAGTCGTTTGCGTAAATTGGTAAAGACACATTCCTTGATGAACAATGTTCAGTAGATAAGAATTATTTTGATGTTAAGGACGTCTCACATTGGTTCGAATAATTAGAACGAAAAAAAAAAAAAAAAAAAAAAAAACTTTCAGCAGAAAAAGAGCGTGGTTACTCTTAATCATTTTTTTGTCCCAATTTGTTTAAACAGCGGATAAAATTTGAATCAACATCGGAAAAATCGTAGCGGCTTTCGGTAAATTTGAATTCGGCTTCACGCTTGCTCTCATCTTTTTTTTCACCGGAAAATTTTTTACCACACATCGGCAGATTATTTAATTCCTTTTCAAGTCTACCTATTTCCTCTAACGAAATTTGGGTATTAGAGACCGCCGAGTCCTCACTTTGTTTCATAAACTCTCTCAATTTCGAGTGATCTTGTTTTAAGGTTTCAAGTACCTCTACTCTTTCTTTGTCTCCCCTGGTTTTCGCCAATTTTATGAGACTGTCTACGTATTCATCGTGTGCGCCATTAAAAGCGCTATTGTATTTCGCTTTAGAAACAGTGCAAACTTATTTTTGATATTGACGATCTTCTCCCTTTCGCTTAACAAACTATCCAAATTAATCTCAAGATTTTTTATATTCGCTTGTTCTTTTTCAATTTCTGATCTATTTTTATTGATCTCCTTTTCTACTTCTTCATTTATCGGCATTCCTTTTTCGACAATATGCTTATGTTTATTCCAAGGACATCCGCAAACCTTGCATTTCCCGTCAATCCCCATTGCCGAACAAAAAATTAAGCCAATTCTTCCTGTCTTGTTCTTTTTAGTTCTAACGTGACATCCCTCGCAACAAATCCTATTATTCCCTGAACATTTTCTGCCTGCGG